CAAGAGCAGCCAGTGTTCTTATCCATTGGGCCGTGTCTGCAGCACTCCCGGGCCTTGCAGTGGCATGTAGAACCTTATTACCCTTCTTTCCCCCACAGCGTTTAAGGGGAGCCCCCAAACCCTCAGGGGGGCCCCCTGTAGGCTCCGGGGGGGCCCCCTCTTCAGAGACCAAGACGCAGCCAGGGCACAGCCGGCGGAGGCCAGAAGTTAGAATCTGAAAATGCAAAAGTTGAATTTATTGTTTAATATATTTATTGTTTATTTAATCTTATTAAATCTTTTGTTTTGTTTAATTGTTTAGTTATTTAGTTGGTATTTATTTACTTTTGTTATTTCTTTTATTTTTATTTACTCTTTTAAGGGCCCTTTCTAGACATTCACAGCTGCAGGGAGGCAGCAAAGAGAGGCAGCAGCAGCAGCAGCAGCGACAGCAGGACCAGCAGCAGCAGCAGCAGCAGCAGCAGCAAACCAACGCAGTGCAGCAGTGAGCTGCCTTTTCGCGCAGCTGCTCAAATGCGAAAAAGCAGCAAATAGCAAATAAGTTGCAAGTAAATAATAAATAAATGATAAATAGTGAATAAATTAATAAATAATAAATAATAAATAAATAAATAAATAGATAATAATCTTCACCTGATTGGATATCAAATCCGCCTTCGTGACCGGCTCCATTTTGTCCTTGTGCGCGACACCCCACGAAGCCTCCGGCTGTCTGTACACCTCAAGCACTGCAGCGCATGCTTTTTGCATCAGAATTATTAAATCATTTATTTTTACTTTCCTTTCTTTTCCAACTTCCACCTCCGGCAGCTCGCTCCACTCGAGGGGGCCCCCGGGGGCCCCCCGGGGGCCCCCATACGCCGCCTCGCCGCACAAAACCATGCCCCAAAACCCCACAAACACCCGCCAAACCCTAAACCCCAAACCATAAACCTTAAACCCTAAACCCTAGAGGCTGCGGCGGGCGGCAGCGGCGAAGACAAACGAGCAGCGGGGCGCAGCAGCCAGGGGGCAGACAGCAGCTGCAAAAAGGATTATTTGTTTTAATAAAAGAGTAAAATGAAGAAAATAAAATAAATTTAATTAAAAATGCGAAAAGAAAAGAAAAAAGACAAAAAGACGCAAAGAGCCACTCGGAAGAAGGCTGGCGCTTTCGCCGCAGCCGACGCTGCTGCTGCTGCTGCAGCGGCTCAGCAGCAGCAGCAGCAGCTTCCTTCTCTTATTCGTGGGGAATTATTCTCCTAAATCTTTTTATTTATTTATTTATTTATTTGTTCATTTGTTTACTTTTGTTTTATTTTTAAAAATCAAAAATGTAACTCAATTCTCCCCGTGAACTCGCTGACTCGCGGTGCTTGGTGGGTCACAAGCGCAGCAGCAGTGTAAGCAGCAGCAGCAGCAGCTGCTGCTGCTGCTGCGCTGCTGCAGGGCCAGGTAACATTGCTGTTTGACTCTATGGAGAAGACATCTATCTCGGGCTGCCTGTTGCCCAGCCCTGCTTCAAGTGCGCAGCAGCAGCAGCAGCAGCAGCAACACAGCAGCAGCAACAAAAGCACTCGCTAGCTGTGGCTGCATCACAGAGGCACGAGAAGCTGCTGGATCCTCTTGCTGCATTTTGGGGAACGCCTCATGCTCTGCTGCTGTTTGTGCTGATGCTTGTGCTTCTGCTTATGCTGCTGCTTGTGTTGCTGTTGCTGCTGCTGCTGCCGCTGCTGCTCGTGTTGCTGCTGCTGCCCTGCTGCAGGGTAGGTGCAGCAAACGTAAGTCTCTCTGTGCCTGCGCCCGAGTAGAGCTGGGGGCCTCTGGCTAAAGAAGCTGCTGCAGCAGAAGCTGCTGCTGCAGCAGAAGCAGCAAAGAGCTGCTGCAGCAGCCACTGCAGCAGCAAATGCACGAGAAAATCTGGCTGAGCTGGTTTCTTCTGGCTGCCTCTTTCCCCCTGTAGCTCCACTGAAGCTGCGACGGCAGCAGCTGTTGCTACAGCAGCTGCAGCAGCAGCAGCTGCTGCTGCTGCTGCAGTTGCTGCAGCCGAGGCTTTTGAAGCATGTGAAGTGGCTGTAGCTTGCGAGAGAGACAGGCGAAACTCCAGGCTCCTATGCAGCAGCAGCAGCAGCTACACTGCAGAAAAGCAGCAGCAGTAACAGCAGCAGCAGCAGCAACAGCAGCAGCACAAAGTAGTCGTTCTACAACTAGCAAGTCGCTCCAACAGAGAACGCAAAGTTGGAGAGTGCAAACAAAAGAAGGATAAATAAACTAATTAACTAATTGAAGAAATGAATAAATAAAATGAACAAATAGACAGTTGAATAAATAAATAAATAAATAAATAAATAAATAACCAATTAAACATTCACAGAGAGACTGTCTGCAGCAGCTCCTCTCGTGCTGCTGTGTTGCCGCCGCTCCACAGGGGTTTGATAAACCCTAAACCCTAAACCCTAAACCCTAAACCCTAAACCCTGAACCCTAACCTCTAAACCCTACACCCTAAACCCTAAACACTAAGGCTTGAAAAGAGAGCAGAGAAGACGCACGGAGCCAGAGCCTCTCCGCTCTGCAGAGGTTAGCGTTTAGGGTTTAGGGTTTGGGGCTGTGGGGCTGTGGTATTTTCTGGTCAGGAAACCATAAACCCTCGCCGCCGCAAACAGGTCGCCCAAACCCTAAATTAGGGTTTGGAGTTTAGGCGGGAAACACGAGCTTCCCTGCAGCTGCCTGGCTCGTCTTGCCTTTGCTTTCTGCACACCTAATGAGCTTTAGGGTTTAGGGTTTAGGGTTTCATATCTGGCAAACCACAGCACAGAAAAGGGGCCCCCAGGGGCCCCCTGGGCCCCTGAGTCCCAAGAGGCCCCAGGGCCTCAGTGATGAGGCTCAAAACCCTAGAGGCCAGAGGGGCCCCAGGGGCCCCAGGGGCCCCTACAAGTTCCGGGGGCCCCAGGGGCCCCAAGAAATCCCAAAGACCCCAGGGGACGCTAGAAGTTCCAGGGGCCCCAGGGGCCCCAGGGGCCCCGGAGAATCTCAGGGGCCCCTGGGGGCTGCAGGAGCTTCTGGGAGCCGTGGGGCCCTCATCAGTCTCTATTGCAGCACTAAGCTGCCTCTGCTGCAGCAGCAAGGGTCTTAGACGCGGCGGCAGCACTTTTCGGGCCCCAAGAGCCCTTCGGGGCCCCTGGGGCCCCCAAGAACCCTTGGGGGCTCCGGGGGGCCCCTGGGGCCCCCCAAGAGCTCCTGGGGGGCCCCTGAGGGTCCCTAGGGCCCCCCAGATAGGCTGTAGAGGCCTTAATGGCTCTGCTGCTTCTGGCAGGGGCCCCCCACTCAATTATTATATGAGAAGTCTAAGACCAGATCTGCAGCAAGTGCTGCTCCAGTGGTTTGCTGCTGCCTTTAATCCCGGAGAGTTGAAGTCCAAAGAAAGGCTCATAAGGGTAAGCCGGCAACACCGGTTCTGTAGGGTTTAGGGTTTAGGGTTTAGGGTTTA